CCCAGGTTTTTCTATGCCCTTGATCTTTTTGTTTTCTCCATGGTTTCTTTCTCTCTGATTAACTCAGGCCATCTGGGCCCTTCTTCCTGTCCTCTTCTGTCCTCAATGACACCACTTATTCGGATTTTAGTTGCTGTTACTGCTTGCCTAGGAAAAACCATCAGGGAAAGAGTTATTTCTGCTCACAGTTTCAGAGGAAAACCCATGATCTGTGGTCAAGGGCTTCTTGTTTCCATGGTCACTCCAAGCAAAAACACCAGCAGTAGGGCATAGCAGAGGGAATACCTCACCTCACGAAGCCCAGGAAACAGAGGAAGAGGGAAAGGGAGTTAGAGCAGAAGGGACTGAGGGCCACCTGGTCTGTTTCCATCACCTCCACTAATGCCATGAAATTTTGATCTTGTCAGTAGGTTAATCCACTTGAAGTTAGAGCCCATGATCATGATTCAGCCTGTACCCCAAGACCCCATCAGCTGGCAACTAAGCTTTTATCACATGAGTTTGGGGAGACATTTTAATCCATAGTGCCCCTCTTGTTTCACTGGTGGTCAGAAATTGCAGTGATTTTCTGCTCCTTCTAGTGTGAAAGCATTTCCCTTATACTTACTCAACGCGCTGCTACTTACTAACAGGTGGAACAAAAGAGAACATTAGTTCCAATTCTGCTTATAACTGTGAGAGAAGTTGAGCCTCTTCACAAGGCCGCTCCAGGCAGGGAGAACAACAGTTTCACAAGTCTGCCAGTCTTGCCTCCTTTCTTCTCTGCCTGCAAATTGTTGTCTGAATGATCTGTACTCTTAAGTGCCAATGTCGCCTACTTGTTCCAAAGCCTGAGGTCTCCCCTTTGCCCAGCCAGGCACCATGGGCCAGGAAAGCACACACCTGGCTTTGGTTTGCCTTGCAGCTCCACCAGAGTTAAAACAATTTAAATTTGGAAGAACATTTATAATATTGGAAGATTTATAAAATCCAGGATTTGGGTTTTGCTTGGAAGATAGTTAAAAGGCAATACTGAGCAGCAGAAACTGTGGAGGTATGACCATTAGTCAGGGTTACCACCCCCTCTATAAGCTGGAGAGCCATATGAATTTGCTCCCCTACTACAGGAAAAATCCTAATTTATTAACAGGGGCATGGAGTCTTGCAAGTTAGCTCTGCCCCATCACCCTATCTTCCTGCCCCATCCCCACAGTAATGCTGTAAGAAAGATAGGGTTTGCCTATCTGAAGTTTTTGTCATGACAGTTACTAAAGCGGCTTTATCTAAAAAGGGACTACTGCACTGCAGTTGGACAGTGGCAGGCAGAGATGGGGATCAACTCCAAATACAAGGACAGGTGGGCTGGGAAGATAGGCCAGCGGTCAAAGCACCTGCCTGGCTAGCAAAAGGACCTGGGTTTGATCCCTAGTACTGCATGTTGTGCCAGCCCACTGAAACCAGGAGTGGTGGTACATGCCAGTAATCCCAGCACTGGGGAGGCTGAGCTAGGAGGATCACTACAGGTCTGTGCTGTGTAGCATGATCCTGTACCAAACAATAAATAAAAGATTTTAAAAACTAAGAAAAAAAAAAAAAAAAACAAGGACAAATGGGATTGGTTGCCAGGTTAGGGACCATGCTGGGCTCTACAGAAGGAGTCACCAAGGGGGAGCTGCAGGGTTAAAGCAGGATTCTGGGTAAGCCAATGTGCTGGAATTCTTGCAGCAAGCAGGCCAGGTGAGAGAATGAGGGCCCTATTCTCACAACCAGCCCATCAGGATTCTTGATGAAATGAGGCTGTACCAGCACAGCTGCTGAAGAGCAGGGCTGAGGCACAGAGGGCTGAGCGGAATCTTACTAGAGTTAGCTATAGGGGAGTCTTTGTCAGCCTGTTCCAATCCAGTTGCTATCTTGGTTTATTTAGTCTTTATCCAAAAGACTCATCCCGCACATCTCCCTGGAGCATGGATTAGCTGGAAGACATACACCTGGCCACGATTTAGGGAGCGTTTCAAGAGCGTTCTCCTTATTTCTTCTTTTTTGGAGCTGGGACTTAAATCTTATGCATGCTAAACACAGTACTGTACCACTGAGCTGATGTTCTTGGTGTACTGATCCATAATTTCTCAGAAGGACAGGAAGCAAAGGCAGGAAGAGAACAGGTGGGGCCTTTCTGTGCTTATGGTCATTTTCAAAACAAATACCTCTTCATTTGTTTGGCTGGTTGTGTATTTTTTAGACATTCTGCTCAGTGAAATTTAAAACAGATTTATATTTTACTTTCTTTAGGATAGTTGCTGTCAGACATTGCCCATTCTTTCCCAGAATTACAGGAAAATTGATAGATCAGTTATCCTCATTATTATACTCATAGAAAATAAAATCAGTTCAGGCTATGGAGTATGTACCTCCACTGCTGTTCCCACTAAGTCCAAGAACTTCCGGAGGATTTATCTCCAGAAAGCTGGGTATTTGTCCTCTAGTTTTTTGGCTTTTTTTTTTTTTTTTTTCAGTACCAGGAATTGAACTCAGGACCTTACACTTGCCAGGCAAGTGCTTATCTACTGAGCTATATCCCTGGCCCTCTCTAGTTTTAATAACTTGTTCCCTAGTCAGGGTTACCATGTTGGGACCATCATTGAACTTGGGTTCTAGCTTTTGTCAGTGCAAAGCCTGAATTCCCCAGGAGCAGCCAGGTGAATTGATGTTGCCCCAGTCAAACTCACATAGACTGTTAACTAGAACATTCATTTTTGTGTACATTGATTAAACACCTTTTGAACATATGGCCCCATCCTAATCTCTAGGGAAACAAAAATTCCTCAGGTGTGGGACATTCTTCCTGACTTTAAAATTTTATGGTACAGAAAACAAATGTGGGGCTGGAGAAATAGCATAAGCACCTACCTGGCAAGCATAAGGTACCAAGTTAGATCCCCGGCCCTGGAACTCTGGCACAGTGGTGGTGGTGCATGCCTATAAGCCCAGTACTCCAGAGGTTGAGACAGGAGGATTGCTGCAAGTTCAAGACCAGCCTGGGGGCCACAAAAGTGAGCACAAGGCCAGCTGCATATCGAGACCCTGTCTCAAAAACAAACAAAACAAATGTGCAAATAAATATGTTGCACATATTGTGCTAAGTGCAACGTGGCCTTCCATCCCAGGTGTGCCTGAGACAACCCTAGTAGCTACCTGATGTCACAATTAATAATACTATTTCATTTCTCAGCTGTCACAATTAATACTCTTTCATTTCTCAGCTGTAAAAGCTATAGTAATGATCCTTAGGCATGTTCAGGATATAGGAAGGGTAGAAACCAGGAAGAAGCCAGCCTCATTTCCCAGAATAGCTGCTCTAACCGGAGATGAAGGAAGTCTGGGCAGCTGTGGCTTGGGAGCTCAGGGTTGGAGCTGGGAAGAGGTGGGTCCCAAGAATAGTCAAAGAGAGATTGCTCTGGAAGCAGCCTTCAGTTGGGTTCACACTGGGCATTGTTTACGAAATTCACCAATGACAATTCCTCGGAGACACTTACTAAACAAGCAGTTTTTCAGATCTTGTTGGCAGTTTGGATTGGAGTTCTTTTGTGGGGGTCAGGGTGGGGGACAGTTGAACTCAGGCCTTCTCACTGAGTAGACCCATCCCCAGAACGGTTTTGTTTTGTTTTGTGAAAGAGGGCCTCACTAAGTTGTTAAATTGTTCCTGCCTTAGCCTCCTAAGTGCTGGGATTACAGACTTGCACCTCCATGCCCAGCCTAGGGTATATTTCATATGGACCCAAATAAAACAATAACTCCTGCCTACTTCATTTCTAGAACACACTAGACATTTGTGTTTATCTCTGGAAAGAAGCTGAAATGAATGCTTCCAGACATCCTAACCCAGTCTTTTTTCAGATGAACACCTGCTCTTCCTTTATGGTAGGATACATGTCAGGCCATCTCTTGCATTTTTTGTTTCTGTTTTCATAATTGAATGGGTGAGATTAAGTTATGATTCATTGGCAATACAAATGCCAAGCTCTTTCAGAGGAGTGATCCTGTCCCCAAATTTTGGGGCTGCTCTCCCTGTGGGAAACTTCAGCCACTTCCCAGATTCACTGCCACTCTGGAAAATGTAACAGTACAAGCAACAGTACTCAAGCAAGGCAATAATTAAACCAGGTGTCAAGGCGGCTGGTTCAATTGGAAGTGAGCACACTACCGGATTTGGGAGACGCAATACTCAAACAGAATCTCTGGATGGAATATGAAAAAAATCAGCGGTTTTCCTGTGCTTTCAAACACAGACGTTTTTATTTGAGGGTTGCCATCACCAGGCCAGCTGGCTCACTACTGAAGCAACAATGTCAAAATCAAAAGACTTAGAAGTTGTGAAAAGAAACCCCCAAGACAGGAAGGAAGAGCATCCCGCGGTGCTGTCCCTGGGTCATCTGAGTCCTTCATCCAGGACCTGGCCACCCACTACCGAGGTGGCAAACCGATGGGAAGGCACAAGGCGGTTTGGATTCTTGTCCTTGGTCGCTCTTTGTGGCGTTGCTGGGGGATTTCCAAAACCCTGAGTGCGGCAGAATGATGAACCAGCCAAAATCGTTCACGCTGCGTCAAGGAGGGGGAGGGGTACACCCATGCGCAGCAGCCGCGAAGTTGCGTGTGTGTGTGTGTGTGTGTGTGTGTGTGTTTGCGCGCGCGCGTGTGTGTGAGGGGCTTAACTTCTGCGCCATCCAGTGTCACCCACCCACTCAGTCACGCTGCAAGAGAAAGACCTAAGTAGAAGAAGAGGCAAAGTGCAGCGTGCACAAACACGAGCTCCTGGGGGGGGGGGGGGGCTCTTGCTGCCTGAGGTGCGGCCGCGAAGCCCTCCGCCCGAGGTCCGGGCGCAACCAGCGCGGCGCCGCGGGGGCGGAGCCGAGCGCGCGACGCCGCCTTCAGAGCCCGCGCCGTCCCCCCGGCCAGCGCGCGGGTAGTACGGTCCGAGGGGGCGGCTCTGGGCGGCTGAGGCGCGCCCGGCGGGCCGGGCGAGAGAGCCGGCAGCGCGCGGCGCACTCACCAGGCCCGGAGCGGGAGGCGCCTTTGCGGCGAGAGCAGCCCGGCGGCTCTGTGTGGAGAGGAAGCCCGGCGCGCGGGCCCCGACGGCGCGCGCCAAGCCACGTCCGCGCCGGCCCGCCGCGCTCCCGGGCGCTGTCACCGCTTCCCTCCATTTTGAAAGGGAAGAGGCGCTCCGCCTCGCCGGCCTGCCCGCCCTTGGAGCCGGAGCCGGAGCCTCAGCCGAGCTCATGGCCTTCAGCCCTTGGCAGATTCTGTCCCCTGTGCAGTGGGCGAAATGGACGTGGTCGGCGGTGCGCGGCGGGGTCGCCGGAGAGGACGAGGCCGGAGGGCCCGAGGGCGACCCTGAGGAGGAAGACTCGCAAGCCGAGACCAAATCTTTGAGTTTCAGGCAAGTACACAGCATCCCTGTCGAGATACGGCCACTGCCATCCCGCCTGCATCCTGCCTGCATCCATCGCGGTGTCGCGGCCGCTCGGTGTGTGTGTGTCTCCCGCATGACGCTGTTCGTGGCCATGCTGCGTCCCTGCCAGCACCAGGCCCCCGCTGTGCATTGGAAAGTTCGGGGTGCTCTGTCTTCCCCAGTGTTTCCTTTGCCCATTCTCAGCAATTCCTGAGCCCAGCCCAGAATCTGCAGTCTCCGCGTTCCTGTTTGCCTCGATCACTTTCTCTGAGCTCCGACTCCCCCAGCCTCTGCCCCGACACAGCCACAGGGGTGGTGTCTCTAGCTCACCAGGTGGAACTTAGAGCCCACCCCCTCTGGGCCCCACCGTGTGTCCCCCAAATGCAGCCGCGGTGAAGAAGGTCGTGTGGTGTTAGGCCCCTGGCAGCTGGTGAGAAATGGTGGTCTCTGCCGAGCTGTCACCCGCGTGATTGCGGAAGGCAGGTGACAGTATTCTTAGCCTTCTGCCCAGAGAGTCAGACAGGTAGAGGCCTACCCAGGAAAAAGAAATGGCTAGGGCTAGCTGAATTTTGTAGTGAAAGTGTTTATTTTTAAGCCTCTGGAAAAGTGGTCTGGTGAGAAAAAGAGTGTGAAAGTGCTTTTTTCTGGGGAGAGATGACCTCAAAAATAAATGGTGCTGGAGAATAGCTCTTGAGAAGAAAGGAGATTTTAGGGAGCCAGGTTGTCAGACTGAAGAGCCCAAGAGAGCAGTGCTTTTTTTAAAAAAACCAAAAAACTGCATCACAGAGACCTCCTGGAAGCCAGGATCACTGGTTGTAAAGTTAGATAGGCAGAGATACTGGACTTCGACCTTGGTGGAGATGTAAAATTTAAAAAGCATTCAAAATACCGTTGAAAGTGGTAATTCCTCATTTTTCCCCCTTGGCAGCTCGGATTCTGAAGGTAATTTTGAGACCCCTGAAGCCGAAACCCCAGTCAGATCACCTCTCAAGGAATCCTGTGATTCATCACTAGAATTGGCAAGACCTGAGGCCAAAACCCAAGGTAAAGAAAAACTTCAAAAAAAATTTTTTTTTGCCTCTTTTTGTTTCAAAGTTTTAAAAATATGTACCTGAAAGTTTTAAAAACATGTACCTGAAACATTAATTTAGGATCCCTTAAGCAGGTTTACATTGTTTATTTGCTCTGAAAGGGCATTTTTTAAGTTTCCTGGGTTGTTTAGAAGGTTTTTTGTAATTGCTTTTTGCTTTCCTGAAATGGAACTTTTTTTTTTTTTTTTTTAATTAGTACAGGGTCTACAGGGTCTCACTACACAGGTTGGACTTGCAGTGATTCTCCTATTTTCTGCCTCCCAAGTGCTGGGATTACAGGCGTACACCACCATGCCCATTCTCAGTGCACTGGGGGCGAGGCCAGCATAGCACGCAGGGGATCAAACCCAGCTGCTGCGCTTGCCTAAGCAGGTGCTTTAGTCAGCTGAGCTATCTGGCCGGCCCACGAAACATTTTTATGAAACAAAACATTATGATCATTTGGTGATCAGAGATTTCTTCTTAGAATGCAGTTTATGTGTTTAAAAATTGAAATTTTCATTCGTACACCTTTCTGCTGGGCCCTTCTCAGCTGCTAAAAAAATGAAAACCTACAATGATGGAGTGGTTATGTTTAGATTTGGCCTCAAAGACCCTTTCCTTTTCTACCCAGAAAAGCTGGATAGACATATTTCTCTATCAATACCCTCAGAGCCCAACCTTGAGCCTGCCCTTCATCTGTAGAAGATTCTACTGTTCTGCCTTGATTTAGAAACCTTTTTTTGGTCACACAAGACAGTTTTGAATAAAATTTCACCTGCCCTAATAGATTTCATTTGTTTATTCTCTAAGTAAAGTATACTGTGATTTAACTGTCAAGTCCTCCTCTCAGCGAATGTTTAGGAGGGAGGTGTGCCTTTTAGGGGTTAAATAAAACATGTATTGGCTTGTATACTGTGGAGAATAAGAGAACACGAGAAAGGGAACTAGAGAATCTGGAGTGGAGACTAAAAAGGTGACCTGAACAGAGACCTGGAAGAGAAGGACTGAGGGAGCAAGACTTGTAGATTCCTAGGAAACAGACCCTTCCAGCTGAAGGGATGACATCCACATCCACAAAGCCCTGAGTCAGGGCTGGCCTGCAGTGGGTGAGGCACTGGGGTGGGAGGTTCAGGACATGCTTGAGGCCCCAGGGAGGCCATTGTGGCTGGAGAGGAGTGATGTGGCAGGCAGTAGGGAGAGGCTGAGATCAGCAGGGTAGTAGAAGGTCCAGTCTGATGATTTGGTTCTCTGAGTGAGAGTGAAAGCCTTTGGAGGGTGTGTTAATTTCCTAGGGCTCTCATAACCAAATGCTATAAACAGTGGTTTAAAATAGCAGAAATTTATTTGTTCACAATTTGGAGAACGTAAAGTAACACAAGCATGCTCCCTTTGGTCTCTGGAAAGAATCTAAGCTTTTGGTTTGTGGCAGCCTCATGCTGCTCTGCCTCATCAGACAGGGGTCTTTCTCTGTGTATCTGTGTGGTCTTCCTGTGAAGGCCCTGGTCAGTAAATTAGCCCCCATCTTATATTCTTTCCTTTTTTTTTTTTTTTTGTGGTACCAGGGATTGCTCAGGCCCATGTGCTTGCCAGGCAAGCATTTATTCTACTGAGCTATTTCTCTGGCCCTAGGGCCCACCTTAATCCTTTATGACTTAATGTTAGCAAGGTTAGGCCTCCCAAGTTACTATTTCCAAATAAGGACATACTCACAGGTACCAGGTGTTACAGCTTTAACATATCTTTTTAAAGGAGTTTTCTTTTTGGCAGTGCTAGGGGTTGAACCCAGGGCTACTACTTAGATACTCCTCTACCCTTAACATATCTTTTTAAGAGGCACAATTAAGTTCAGGACAGAGGGCTTTAAGCAGAGAAGTATTATACTTTGATTTTTTTTTTCTGAGAGGCTCTCTGGCAATTATGCAGAGAAGGGACTCCAGGATGCATGTCTTTGTTATGCGTTTTTCTCTGTTCCACTGTCCGACACTATCATTCTACAGTGGTAGGTAGAGCCAGTGTTTACCCAGTTACCTAACTTGGGGGGATTTTTTTGTTTGCTTTTTGTTTTTTGAGACAGGGTCTCAATATATAACCCAGGCTGGGTGGTCTTTGAACTCATTATGTATTCCAGGCTGGTCTCAAACTTGAGGTGATCCTCCTGCCTCAGCCTCCTGAGTGCTGGGATTACAGGTGTGTGCCAGCATGCCTGGCTGCCCTATGTTTGAACTGGTGACTTCCAGTAGTCCAGTTAATGTACTTTACTGGCTAGAAATTTCTTTATAGATTTCTCAGAGAAGTCACTCTTCTCATAGACTTTATGGTGGTGCTAAAATTACTGGTAAATGACATCAGCTTTTTATGACTGGTTTTTGCATTTGAGAGCTCTGTGCAGTACCTATCCTGCCAGAGTCCAGCAAATGTCTTCTGCCTGACCTGGGAGCATTTGCCTTGGTCAAATCACACAGATTATGCACTAGGGGCTTTGTGTGCAGCACAGCCCAGTGCAGCATCTTCAGTGACTGCCACTTGTTACTCATAGCTTCCCTTTTCCTTTCAGGATTAACAGATCAGAAGCCAGACTAAAAAAAAGTCTGAAAGAGTTATTTTGTGGCCTTCTCATCAAATTTACATAAAACTCACAAGACACACGTTAAGTAGCTGTCTGAAAGCTTCTTTGAATTGCCCTCAGCCTGGGCAGCTCTTCCTCATCCTTCCAAGCAGCTGCTACCCTGAGTCATCCTGCCAGATTCTTTCCCATTTGAATAGATGTGCAGAGGTTAGGCCCCCAAAGCCACAGAGACCCAATTGTTGAATCCTTCCTGTTCCAGTGACTCTCACATTCTTTCTCCTTTTGTCTAAAAGGAAAACTTTGAAATGTTTGTGTTTTAGGGAGTTTTGCATCAGGAAAACTCTGTAGGGTAGTTACAGGATACAGACTGTAATTGTAGGGAGTGAAGGGTGGTAGTGTACAGTCTAGGAAACAACCCACAAATTATGAAACCTCTCATTTCAAGGTCTTCTAACAGTAGAATGATTGCTCAGTAGCCTGATTGTGTCCTGCCTTTTAGGGCTTCTTCTACATTGCATCTGGTGCTGATCCAGTCTTGTGGATCGCCTTGTCCACAGGCAGCATATGTGAAAATACCACCAAAGCGTAGGTCAGACAGGAAGATTTCAGTAGGCAAAATTCCTTCTGAGTTGTTCATGTTGAAGTTTAATTTCTGAGACTGGATTTCTGGGACTCTATTCCCCAAATTGTGGGTTGTTTTATTCCTAATAAAGTTAGTCCTACACATTTTTGTGGTCCCAGGACATGGCTAGACAGCAGGTAAGTATAAGACTGTGCCTTATGGAGGAATGGTTTATGAATTGTTAGCAAGGAGTTGGTATTGACATCTGTAACAATCCTGGCTCCCTAGTAAATTATGTGTGGGCTGTGTCCTGTTTACCATACTCATGGTTCCTGTCTCAGCTTCATATTTGTTTGAACTCAGGAAAACATTTGACTTTTTACTGGAACTATTTTAGGAATTTGACAGCATCTAAAAGCTGCAATGACCTCTCCCAAAGAAGGAGTTATATCCCAAGAATTAAATAGTAGATGAGGGTGTGTGTTTTTAAATTACAATTAGAAGCTAATTTTTTTATTACCTAATAGAAAAAAACTCTATTGTCAAAGAGATTCCTTGAAAATACCAGACTGACTGATGGCTATAACATTGGGGCTGGTGGTGCCTGTGCTTGCTACCCATATGACTTACTCCGCAGAGGATTTTTTTTTTTTTTCTTTTGGCAGAACCAGGGCTTGAACTCAGTCCCTTGCGCTTGCCAGGCAAGCACTTATTCTACTGAGTTATCTCCCTAGTCCCCCCACAGAGGATATTGAAGCTGCTGCTGTGTTGCTCTATGTCTGCTGGGGAAGATATGGGTGAAGAAACATCCTCTGGGAAAGGACTTCTGAGGAGGAACAATCTTGTCCCCTGCTCTCATCTTTTTGATACTCGAAAAGGACAGACGGACTCATGGTTTTGTCATTGTGGTCTGTGGATAAGCTCTGCCAGTTGAGCTTTTCCTCAGCCATATCCTTCACACCTTTCTTCACTATACTCACACTCACACGTTCTTATTTGCAGATTGTTGCCTTTCTCAGGAGGAGAATCCTAGCAGGTCTCATATCACCTTTTCTTTGTATATTCAGTTTGATGTATTAATTAGATGCCTGGGTATTTCAAAGAAAGGTAGTCCTCTGGGATGGAAAGAAAGAGATAAAAGAGATCAATCCATAGATATATGCTTATTGAGGCTTTGTGGGGAATGCAGAATTGTTGATGTAATTCTATAGTATAGATCAAAATCAGCAAACCATGATTCATAGGCCAAGTTAGGCCTGCAGCCTGTTTTTCTATATGGCCCTCCAGCAAAAAATGAGTATTATATTTTTAAATGGTTGAGAAGAATTATCATATGAAATTTAAATTTCAAGACCAATAAACTTGTATTGGAATATAACCACATTTATTTGTTTAGATATTGTCTATACTTTATACTATGGTAGCAGAATTAAAGACTTAGAATAGAGACCAAATGTCTACCAAAAGCATGCTGGGCTTGGTGGTTCATGCATATCACCCAACACTCTGGAGGCTGAGTTGGAGACTATCCTGGACTTCCTCATGAGACGATTTCTCCAAAAAACCCCAAAAAACCTAATACAACAACAATACGCATACACAATTAGTGTAGGGCTATGTGATCATGGAGGATTAAGGGAGAGTCTGATTTGGGCTGGCTATTTCTCCTTTGTAAGATGAAACTGATGCAATTGATTTGCCAGTGTACCTGACCTTTAACTAAGAGATCCAAGGAATAAAAACAAATTATTTAAAAAGGAAATTATGGTCAAATGCAGTTAAGTGCTGGAATCATTTAGTACAAGGATAGTCCTTTAACTTCTGCTTATTAGGTATTTTAAAC